GGGGGGGGAGGAGGGGGGGGGGGGGGGGGGGGGGGGGGGGGGGGGGGGGGACCCCGGACAGGGAAGGAGCCTGGGGAAAAGCAGCCCCTCCCCCGTCCTGTGGCCAGTGCTCCTTGCTGCAGCTGCTTGAAGTCCGCGCAGGGCTGTCCCGAGCAGGCTGCGAGTGGCTGCAGCACGAGACACCGGCCACAGGGCAGGCAAGGGACCACTTTTTACCCCCGCACTCAGCACCAGCTTGTAACATGCCCCTACTGCCAGCTTGGGCCCCACACCGGCTCCAGGATCACCCACTGGGGCTACGCTGTGGAAGCAGCAGCTGCAGCCCCCCTACTTGCCGCACTAGCCAGTGCCGGCCATGAGGCGGATAACGGGCCACTTTTCCCCCATGCTCAACACCAGCTTGTGTCCTGCCGGGGAGCGGGAGGTCAGGGCTGCACACTGCCCTCTGCCTGTACCGCGGGGCTGGGGGGGGGGGCACTGGGAGTAAGCGGGTACACAGGGCCCACACCAGTGTCCCAGGGCCAGCGCCAGCAGGGCCCAGAGCAGGGCGGCAGGAATGCAAGGTCCCAGCCGGCAGTGGCTCTATGGAGCCAGGCCAGCTCCCCCTCTCCCGGCTGGTGCAGCCCAGCCTGGCTCCACAGACCCCTGCCAGCCTGTGCCCCGCTCTGAGTCCCACCGGCACTGGCCCTGGGACATTGTCCCAAGATGGTGACCAGGGGGCAGGGCACCTGTCAAGGGGCGGAGCTACCCATGCAGCCCTCAACAGCTTGCCAAAACTGAGTAAGCGGCCTTCTGCCTGAAATAACTGCCTGCCCCTGTTCTAGCAAGATAAGCTGATCCTACAGCTCAGTTCCTAGGAACTGCACCAAACTATTTCAGCACCACATCCATTTTATTCTACTTGCAATTCTGAAGTCCACAACTTTAGACTGCTACAGAGAGGTAGAGATCAACAAATAATGCTTGAAGTTCAGTAACACAAGGCCATTTAGAAGTAGTGACTCCTTATTCCCTTCATGAACAGAAGCAGACATAACAAGAAATGCATTGTTCTAAGCAACTTTTAGTTGTGTATTAAGTTACAATCACCATTTCCAGACTAGACTAAGAGTTGCACAGAGCTATACAAGTCTGATTTCTGGATTAAGAAATGAGCCTGATTTTTAAGAAAGCCCAAGGTTACTGAATGTAAAGAGTCAAACACCCATAATCACATTTTATGTAACTAAGTTACAAAGCAAAAAAGGGGAGAAAGATTATGACACACGTTATTTAAAAGTATTTTTATTTAAAGTGAGTCACAAAGGGCTCAAAGCAGGGTTTTTTTTTAAAGCAGTCCTGCAATAAACCATCCAGAAAAAAAAAAAATCAATGAGGAAAATGAAAGGCTCTGTGCAGCATAATAAAAGAAATCAACTGCTGCAGATGGGAAACATTTACTATCGGGCTTCAAAGAGGCATCTTCATAGTGGGGAATACCACCACAGATCCTCAACATGGAACAAAGCAAAGCACTCAGGCACTTGACACAGCAGGACAGGATTTTATAGCATTAACATCACAACCTGAATGCTAAATAAAGGTACTAGGAAAGCTGACTGGAATGTCAGGAAGTAGGACACGAGACCCCCATGACCTACAAAAGCAACTGAAATGTTAAAAGAATGGTTTGGATTTCTCTGCATTCCTAGTTCAGTACAACTCCAGCATGGGCCTACAAGTCTTCCTTTGGATCAACAAGAAATCATTCCTCTCTAGATGAGAAGTTTCAGTGTTAAATATAGAAAGCATACATAGTAGGAAACCAAAAATCAGCCCCTGATTTATAAGATGTAGGCTTTACACAGTAAGCATGTTTCTTAGAAGTGTTCTTCCTCTTCCCTTCCCCCAAATGTAGGAGAGATTTTTTTTTTAAAAGTTTTTTGTACAATAAGGCAGAATTTAACAGGTCAGAGAAGATACAAGTGTAAGTATTTTAGATTTGGGCTTTCCTTACCCAGGGTAGATGCTGCAACAACTGAAGCAACAGGAAGATTTGCCCTCAGCTTCAGTTACTTTCAGGGCTGAGGTGAAGGAGCAATTCAGCAGTCATAAGGTATTCATTTTTGTTCACTGCACTGTAGAGTAGAGTAGTCTCACCACATGCAGAGTCGATATAGACACACCCATAAATCCATTTTTGTAAGACTTCCCGTGTCCTTGGCTAAATTTGCCTTGCTGGTTTTTCATTGCAATCAACTATTAAGAGTCACACGTTCATGCTAATGAACGTAAGTGATAATGTGGGACCACCATAGGAAGAATGAATCATCTTATTTGAAAAGTATAAATATAGTAAGTTTATGTTTTTTATATCAATCTATTTATATATACACACACATTCCTAGGATTCACAACCCTCTTAAAGGGATGTTAATATTTAAATAATTCCATAAATTTATATAGTGCTTTACAATCATAGTGTAGCTATAAACAGCAGAATGATAAAGACAATTTTGAGCTATAACCTACCACTCCTGCCTGAACACCATGTATGATTATACAGCTGGCAAGGCTTCTAAAGCAAAGCAGGTGAACATAAAATACATATAGTTATTAGGTAATACAAAAATCCTGCAATCCTTAGTATTTAGCAAGTGATTGGAAAGGGGTAGCTGTATCAGAATTGACCAAAGCAAGTAAAACCAATCCCTGAGAAGGCAATTTAACTCAGCAACTGAGCCCATGGTATTTAATCATGGCTAAAATATTAAATGGAGGGATTTTCTTCAGTTGGTGAATGAAACAAAAGATAATTTTCACATCACATTTTCAATGGAAGTGTGACAAACACATGAATGTTACTAAAAGGTATCTGACAAGTGAACAGACACTAATCATCAGAGATAGTGAACTTGCTTCAAAAGCCTCAACTGATGCAAGTTAAGTTCAGAATAGCTGGTGTGATATTTACACTAGGTCACAACACAGAAGAATGAACATTTTGTACAAGTGAAATTAATAGCATGATTCCTGGGAAAGCCACTAGATGCAACACCAGCATCATAAAAATGAATCAGGCTCTAGAATGCAGATAATAAGGCCTTAATTTTACATAAAAAGTTAGGGAAGATAAATGGTAACTCATCCTAGTAAGTTTCCTAGATAAATATTAAGTGAAATATAGAATTCATCCCTTCATGCAGGAGCTAGCTCAGTCATGAAACAACCAGCTATTGCAGTTGAGACTTGAGATGGAACTAAAAAAGTCTGAAGTCATAGCCCCACCATTAAACCATTGATAAAAAGCCAGAGTTTTGACTGGTCACTTGTTAGAATGATTTCAATCAACTCTACTTCCCACAACTCTCCACCCCACCACCCAGAGCCACCAGTTTCACCGTGTTTCCATTTCTTTGCTCAACTGATTGATTTACCAAGCCAAAGACAGAACTAATGTGAATGAAGTTTTCAGTGCCAAACCAAGTTTATTTCTTCAGTTTAATACTTTGAACCAGAAAAAACTCGTGAGCTGTATTCAATTTGTATTCCACAACATTGCACACCCTCCAGCTGTACCTGCTTGCTAAAAGTTAGAGAACCCCATTTTACAACAGCAGAATTTTGACCGAATACTGACTTTAAACACTGGCCTGGTGTGCACTGAAGCAGTCCTCAGTTGAAAAAGAGGGAAGGAAATACTGCTGCTGAAGATTAAAATTCTGTTATACCACTGCTGCTTTTCAACTCGAGTCAGAATCACCCAAAAAGGAAGGTTTCTAATGGGAATGGTCACTTCTGGCAAATATCTTAGATTATTTTAAGGGTTCTTGAGGTCCAAAATACAATTGGTTATTTTGCTATCCTAACGTCTTTCAAAAAATATATATCCGTCATGTAAAAAAAAAAAAAAAAAAAAAAAAAAAAAAAAAAAAAAAAAAAAAAAAAAATCAGGGGTCTTCCCCCCAAAAAAAAAAAAAGAAAAGAAAAGAAAAAAAAAAAAGCAAGTCTAGGGTGTCTCATCCTGAACAGACACAATGTAGCAAACATCAGTTTTCTTCACACTGCACTGCTGGTGTTTCCCATATCTCCTCATCCACAGACTGAATCATTTGTGATGTCTGAGCTAAGACTGCTTTCTCACTCTGAGCTATAAATAATGTATTCTGTTCTCCTCCTGCTAATTGAAGGTCAGAGCTACAAGAATCATTATACCCATCAAGTCTGTCTGTCAAAAATTCTGCTGCATCTCTAGAAGCCTGTCCAGCCTCTGCTTTAGCTACTGGCTCTGCCTTCAGCTGAAGTCCAAACATGTCATTTCGGATGATGTATCGTACGCACTGCAAAATCACATTCCTTTCATGGCGTATGTCCTGGGCCAATAACTGGAAGGAAAGAGAGAAAGTGATGCATATTTCCATTATTATTTGTTAGCAACAGATGCAAATATAATAAGATCTGGGGGGATAGTTATTTAAAATAGGTTTTCAAATAAGCTCCAAAACAAGACCTGAAAATAGAGACAGGAAAGTCTGTCTTACTAACACATATATGAAACTTAAAGCTACCAAGCCCCTAATTCAAGTCTTAGCTCTACCACTGACTTATGTTGGGATTACAGCAAAGCCAGTTCCATATGTAAAATAAGAATATTTCGCAGGTGGAGCAAGGCTCTGAGGAGGTTGAATGCCACAATTCATTTAAATATTGAAGTATTGAATTCTGGTGGGGAAAAAGCACATGGGATGCCTAAAAGTTATGTATACCTGCCTAAAGGGTGAGACCAGCAATTCAGAAAATATTTAACCCCATCACTATACTAGAGAAGGTCAACCAACCAACCTGGGAAAAATGGACAGCATCTTTTTTATTGTTATCATTCTTAGTTTATATAGATGGCAGGAAAGTCAGCAAATATACCCCAAATACCATGAATTGTTCATGTATAAATTCACATATTGCAAATTCTTCATTGTAAGAACCATGCCTTTGTGTAGGTTTGTAAGGCTCTCTTTACAACATGGGTACCCAGATGCTGACTGGGATATCTAAATGTTATGTTTATTCATAATTAATACCTGCAATAAACTTATTCCAGCTCTTGAGCAGCATATTGCAGTACCAAGAATCAACATTTATTTGGACTTTTCAGACCATAGAAGTTACTTCTGTCAGACCACACAGATTACCTAACATAACATCACACACCTATGATACAAGTCTGTTCATCCGGGATACATATTTACAAAATAGCTCAAGTAGATAGATACCACATTAAGAATTGATTAAGCCTAAATATTAGTGTCTGTTTTGGAATGTAGTCCTCTAGATTAAGATTTGTCAAATCTTATTCAGTAAACTGCTGAAGGCATTCATTATTTACTGTAAACTCCTGCCAATACTAAGCTAACTGTGTATAAGTATTTCAAAATCATATTTTGCAGACTGTCATACTGTGAATGTTAGGAGTAATCTAAACTTTAAGCAAGGAGTATAATGTAAACAAATTAAACCTGTGACTACCTTGGTCCTTTACAAGAGAACAGTCATAAAAAGTGTGTATTCAGCTTGCCCTGTAGGGTTTGATGGAAGCATTCTTTATCATAAGATAAAGACACTGTCTCTCACCCCATTCTCATTAGGAAGCTGGGGGACTGTGGCGTAGACACCCACACAGTCCAATGGGTCGCCAACTGGTTAGAGAGTCGCACCCAGAGGGTGGTAGTGGATGGGTCCTCTCGACCTGGAAGGACGTGGGAAGTGGGGTCCCACAGGGCTCGGTCCTTGGGCCCGCCCTGTTCAACATCTTCATCAGTGATTTGGATGAGGGGGTGCAAAGCACCCTGTTCAAGTTTGCTGATGACACTAAGATGTGGGGGGATGTGGGCACAATTGAGGGGAGCAACAGGCTACAGTTGGACCTAGACAGGTTACAAG